GTATTCTCTATGCCTGGGGGACCTTGCTATTTTACATACATGGTCATTGTGGCAGTCACCTAATCTGGTGTCAATTTGAACATTAAGAGTGTAGGGGTGGAGTCTAGCCTGTGAATCTGGAGATAGCCAATGAGACCTCTGTGTAGGCATGGCCTTCTCCTGAGAATTCTGGGAAATCCGGTACTTCCTCCTTGAAGGCCGGAGACACTTCTCTCTCTGACACTCCCTGGGAGACATTGCAGAAGACAAGCCACATGATCCACCTGGATGCAGAGGACCCCTGCCAGCACAGAGATGTTTCCAATGTCACTGGATCCAAAGACTTTCTACCCACCGGCCTGTGATCTTCTACACTGGGTGTCACTGCATGTGTTTCGTGAGTCTGAAGAGAACTTCATTGAGTGATATCGGCCATATGGGCTAAAATCAGATTTATGAACTTGGTATGGACTGGGCTGGGATATTTTCTCAATGTTCAACTGCTCTTGTATATAAATCTCTTTCTTATACACATACGAGTGTCCATGGATGTGTTTCTCTAGTCTACCCAGATTACCAAAGTCATGTGGTACGAGATAATGACCAGACTGATCATTCTAGCTGAGAACTGTCCAAGATTCTGGGAAAAGGGGGAACCGATCACAAGGATCTCCATATAACCCCTTCCCTGGGGGTCGGACAACAGAAAAGCCCGGGAAAGGTGACGTCAGACAGTGAAAGACATGACAAAATAATAATAATTTATAAATTATTAAACGTTTGGGAGGGAGGGGGCAAATTAGGAACTGATACCAAGGGCTCAAGTAGAAAGCAAATGTTTTGAGAATGATGATGGCAACAAATGCACGAATGTGCTTGACAATTCAATGGATGGATGTATGGATTGTGATAAGAGTTGTACGAGCCCCCAATAAAATTATTTTTTTTAAAAAAACAAACAATAACAATAAAATGAAAAATTAAGGTGAATGGTAGAATCTTTCTGGGTACCAGAAAGTCCCCCTGATCAGGAGGCAGCTGCGGAAAAAGTTATATGCTTTAGAAAAGTAGCTTGTGATGCCCAAAGAACAGTTTGAAACATGACATGAAGCAAACCAGAAATGGTCTGGGAAAGGATCATGAAACCTGAAGAAGGTTTAGTCAATTAATATGACCCTTCTGGCCATAATTCCTTATGTGGCATATTAGAATTCTGGACTCTTTATGCCTGTAACTACAGTCCCATTTTGGAGGGCATTATCTATTCTATAGATAATAGGATTAGGTAGAATTAAGACGTTACTTAATAAAGGGTGTAAACCAAGCCATACCATTTGTTTCCTTGGGGACATCTTTTAAGATTCCACCTTAGTAGAGGGTGTGAAAACAGTTTCACCCTTTGTTTCCGTGGGGAAATCTTTGACTCTACCTTAGTAGGTATGACTTAAGACACTATACTTTGTTTTCCTTGTATATATGATTGTATCACTGTATAGTTCTAATACACATCATCTCTTCACCTAGAAAACCAAACCTCTATTTCCTAATTGGGCTTTAGTAGAAGCAAGACCTGCTATGACTTTTGGACATTTCTGGCTTCTGGCTCTAGATCCTGCATCTGGCTCACCTCTGCCTGACTTTTGGATTTGGAGCTTAACAGCACTCACCTATGCGCGACACATTTCGTCAAAATTTCTTGAGTTTTTGTGGGACATTTCAGAAAATCACAGAACTTAGACATAGGAAGGCATATACTGAAGGGAATAGTGTACTGGGAGGCCAGGGGCGGAGGGGAGAGCGGAGAATGGAGCAGAATAGCATATTGGAATAATTGGATATCTTTAATCTACACCTCCTTGGGATTATTCTGGTATTAATTCTTCTAAAATAAAGTATTACCACACTGACGACAGAAAATGTAGCCCAAAGCTCTGGTTTTTCTACAGAAGAAATTAAAGAATGTAGCAGAAAATTAACTCCAAAGACATGCAGGTGAATCTGTCATATTTGGGATATCATGAAATGCCTACAATGAATCCATATATACTACTTCCGTCAAACAGATGGGAGTATAAAATAGGTGGGGAAGAGGGCAAAGGCCGGACATAGATGGTCTAGAGAAGAACACATCTTCACAATCTCAAGAACTATAGCAAAACCAAGAAGTTAGTGTGTAACATCAATGAAGGCTGAGACTAGGACGGTCAATTCCAGCATATGGTCCATTGCTTCGTAATTGCAGCACACACTCAGCATCTTAGAACTGGTGCGATGCTCCAAGTGGATGACTGTACCATGTGAGACATGCACAGATAGAGTCGTCATCTCCACTGGACACTGGTGACATGCAGTGAAGGACACAAGAGTTCCGATGGTCAAATCCTCATTATAGTCTTTATCCCTGTCCTCCATATTTATCCCTGCCTATATCAGAAAACCATGCAGATTGACTAGTTCAAGTCCATGGTGATCCTGCATTGTGGTAGGTATCTCAGTTTGTCAAATACTTGATTCACCCCAAATCTTAGCTAGAAAAGGAAACAGAAGAGGCCACCAAGAAGCTTGGTTTTAAATATCTACATATTAGAGTCCTCATCAGATGCACATACAAAATGAGAACAGAAACAGCTTTCTATTCCATCAGAGTACATGGTACATGTTAAGGAGCATTTCCAGCTTCTTGCACGCAGGATGCAAGTATATGTGTAGGGGACCTGGCCGAGGATGATACCCTTTTTATTAAAGGAAGCAAAGACAAAGCACCCCATTTATGCATTTATCAGTAATCTCTCTCTCTCTCCCTTAGTCAGGTGGATTACACAATCGATACACAGAAAACTTTGGGGTGTAATATTGGATATACACTCTCTCTCAAGCAGACTTCCTAGTATGCACTTCTTCATCCTAGCTTGGTTGAACTGCTTATGAAATCATGTAAACACTGCTTTTCCTTGCACACATGCCTCTGTAATCTTTAGTTCTTTGGAAGGCATCTACTATTTCAGGGACCAGAATGTCAACATCCAGATTGCCAATTGTAGGGACACCCGTTATCACTCCTAAGTGGCCACACTTCAGCTAAACTGGCATTCCCTGTGAGTCCTTGTGCCGCTCTGGAGGACACTTATACCTGCAGGTATCCAGGACACTGAAGCACAGCCAGAGGCAGTTGTGAATGATTCCTGCTCCCCTTACCTCCACAACCTCCCCACCCCCTAGCAGAATAACACCAACCTAACAATGAGTTTGGGGTCCTTCGTGTCATGGTGTTAATGGTTTCAGTAGCCTACCTCCATCAAAGTTGTAACCCTTATAAAGAGCCCTCAACACTGCCCCCCAGAGCAGATTCTTTCCGGGCCAGCTGGCTACTGGGGAAGAAGCAGTACTGTTCTTCTCAATCCATAAGCACCCTGACTCGAATTCAAACAAACTAATGGCTCTCAGGTTGTTTTGTGGTCAGTATTTTGGTCTCTTGGTATCTACCTATATAGAGTCTCTCCCTTTTTGGGGGAGTCTGAACCCACAGACCTTTTATCCTCAAACAATAGATGAAATCCCAATGGAGCCAGCTGATATTATTAGGCTGGCTGCAAATCATTGGGGTGGCTGATCTAAAGATGCCTCAGAAAGCTGACAAAGACAGGCCTAGATCACCTCCTTCAAGAACTTAAGAGGACGACTGAGACAGTCAAGTACCCCACATTACTAAGGCTAAGAAATAAAGTTCAGATGAAAGAAATGAATGACCAAACTCAGGCCAAACCATGAGATGACCCTAATCTAACAATGTATGCTTAAATGAATAGATACTTTTAGCATCAATAGCAACTGAGAATAGATGTTTCCCTGGTAGAATTCTACCTTTAACAAAGGCTACAATGCTCTTTGTAACATGCAAACAGGTTGTTTTCTACTTTGCCCATTCTTTCAAGATCATGTTCCCAAGAAACAAACACTGTCACATTGTATAATTTAACTGACACAGATATACTTCGTCTGAGACTTCAAACATGGTGTACCTATATCTGAGAGACCTATACAACCAACCCAATGAGAAGGCGTAAATTGCCTCCTATTGTTAGGAGTTAGTTCTTAGCCAGTGGTAGTGCAATAACCACTGAATTCACTGCAATTAACAGATTCAGTATGAGAACAGCTCTTTTTTCCCTCTATAAAGGTGTCTGCATTTTATAAAGTCATTGCATCAGTTCATCTACCTCATAAGGTATATGGGATACATACATGAGAAAAAAATATTCATACTTCATAGGAACTTCTGTAAAACAATGTCATGAAACTATTAATTATTATTTAATGTTTCTGGGCATTATCTTTTTGACAGCAAAAAATAAACTTTAGAAAGAGGAAAGCAATAAAAAAATGAAGCCTGTGTAAGAATCAAGCAATTTCATGTATCAGTAGGGAATAGAAATAGGGCTGCACACAAACCCGAGAAAAACAGTTGGCACTGGTTCCCCTTTTCTTAGAAAAGGAAAATAAGAAATGAGTTCATGAATTAGTATAAAAAATAAAATAAACATAAGAATAAATGTCAGTAGTTTAGACATCTTTACAGCATGTTACCTCATTTGTGCTGATGATAAGCTGGGACCAGCTATTCCACTCTGGGCATTTGTCTCTGTCTTCAAAGGTGACATGGTCAGAGTTCCAGCAACAATGTTCATGGTTAAACCAGAAGCCCCCGGTGCAGATTCCTTCTTTGAGGTCTGTCATCCAATGAGCAGAGATATCTATCACACCAGCTAAGGAACCTGATTTGGAAAGGGGTAAAGTTAAATTCACTTTCCGAAACTTTCAGTTAAATTCACTTTCCGAAACTTTCGTCGTTGGTAATAAAAACAAATTTGTTAATGAAAACAAGGGACAGGAAATCAAAATCAATATAACACGCTATATTTTCCCTTTCCATATGCACTATTTGTATGTTTGCTTGATTTCTGCCTATTTCTGCATTAAATACTCACCATCTGTAGAATTTCTATAATAGAGAAAATTTAAGAGAAAAGCAAGATTGTTAGGTGAGAGCCATGGCCTAGCGGATTCATCTTTAAACTTAATTTATATGGCAAAGATTTTATTCTGGCTTAGAATTTATGTAATTGATCAATAAAAGGGAGCAAAGTTTATTAAATATTTTATTTTGACTATATACATAAGATAGAGAAAATGTGAATTGTCTCCATTGGGGACTATTACATTATATTTATTTAGGATGGCATGGTGTTGCAGGGAACTAGAGACGATGGGGAGACGGGCTAAGTCTTGAAGGATAGCAGGATTCTTCTCCAAGGACAAGGTAATTTGAACAGTGGCCAGAAGGCATCAGAGGCTAAGGTAACTGAGTGTATAAATGCACAAAACTGTGATGTGGACATAAGGTTAGGGTGACACTACAGAAGTCTGGAAACATCCTGAACCTTTTACTAGAACATGGACATTCTGAGTTTTCTTTCTAAGAAGGAACAGCCAATGATACACAGATTATCCCCAAAAGGAAAATCATGAGGATATGTGTATGCACTATAGCTAATTGTATGATAGGGCTAAGAGAATAATATTACTTTAGATTATGTCCTTCTCATTATTTTTAATGTTCAGATACAGAAACTTTGGCACAAAAGTTAAATTATTCCTGTATCCTGACACACTGCTTCTATTGTTGCTCTGCAATGCTTAAAAACAAAAAGCTCTGTGTATAAGGGAAAGAAAAAGATTCACTGACTATCTAGTGGCAATAAATACACTTAAAATCAAGAATATAACACCTACATTCTAACAGGTCGTGCAATTTTGCTAAAAGTATTAAACACTTGAAAAAACCATTTAAATCTAAAACACCGTTGGGAGCATACTCTTGGCCACTTCAGCCCCCACTCATCTCTTCTTTCTAATTTGTATTGCACTTCTTGCCAGAGTTCAGAATATTAACATGCTTTTATATAGTTGGGCTTTTGCTCTAATTGCTTCACCTGAAATGTCACATTTCCTACTTTACCTAACACTGGTACCCCTCAATTCTATCTCCCCTTTTACCTCTTTTCCTTCCTATTTCCATTGGTTTTCTTTATGTGCTACAAATTTTCAGAATTCCCCTACCCTAAAGAATAAAATGTTTTCTTGTATTCTTGTTTCTACTTCAAGTTTTCTTCCCTCCTCTTCTTCCAGTAACTACCAAGTATCTCCAGAAACTATCTTCTACACTGGTTGTCCCCCTTTAAGATCTAGCTCCTAACATTTGAGATCATTTTCAAAGATGGATAAGGCACCTAATTGCCCAACTGTATAATCTTTTCTTAATCATTTTCCTCTTCTTTAAATTCTCTTAAATATTTGGAATTACAGACTACCGACTGATTTTAGCTCAATATCCTGGATCATCGCAGGTATCACCTGGTAGCCTTGACTTCCTGCTTCCTCCATAGGAAAGGACAGCTACCCCTAAGCCACTAGGAAAGACTGAGTCACCAATATCTGACTTTCTGTGCCACCTCATGAGAGTTGAGTTTAAAAAAAATATTATAAATAATTTCTCTTGCAGTCCTCTTTTACACCTTCTCTCCTAAATCTCATGCAGTGTGTGTTAACATTCAACCAACTGTCCCAACAGATGGGCTCTTCCTCAAAGCAATCACCAAAACACAATGGAAACACACTAAGAAGGATACAAGATTTTATAGCTTATAAATGTTTCTAATTGCATTTACTCACTTAACCCTCATTTATTTATGGCAAGTGATTCAGACAGTAGACCCCCTTTCCAAACACAAACCAAACTCAATGCCACCATGTCTATGGTGACTCATAGCAACCCTATAGGACAGGGTAGAGCTGCCCTTTTAGGTTTCTGAGACTGTACTCTTAATGAGAGTTGGTGGTTTTGAACTGCTGACCTTGCAGATAGCAGCCCAACATGAAGCTACTCTGCCACCAGGGCTCCTTTAGAGATGGGGAAATCAAGCTTCTAAAATATTCACCAGCAATTCATTCCAGGCAGAAAAATAACAAAACATAGCAACTCAGTTCATGACATTATGATGGGAGGGTGTGGGGTAGGGTACACAAGAATCTTAGATACAGCTTACCATACCTGAAAGAAGCCCAATAAGTAGCATCAATAACCAGCCAGAAAAGGCATCACTCACACTGTGAATTAAGGCCCAGGTTGACTCTTTGCTTTTATTGGTAATCTAGAGAGAAATGAGAAAATATTGATATAGTCTACACACGCACTTTTTTTCATATCAAAATTGCTCGATAAGAAACCAAAGACAAGTTACCTGGGAAAGGAGACCAATATGGAGTTACCTCTCAAATAATCTTTCGCTGAACCAATTTAACCAAGGACTTTGAGGTTTACTGAACCTCTATACGGTGTAGCTGTTATCACTGGGTACCTGAGAGTCATTTTTCATAGTGACCCCTTGTTACAGTGTAGAACTATCCCACAGGGTTTCCTAGGTTGTAATCTTATCATCAGGTCTTTGTCCCACAGACTCACCGTGTGGGTTCCTATAGCCAGCCTTTCCTTAATAGCGGAGTACTTTGCCAATCAAAGTCACTGTTATTTGTTTACCTATTGTTTGTGCCTCACCGGAAGAGTTAAATAGATGGTGCATAGGATGTTTTGTCCATGAATATTTCCTGTCTGGCCCTTAGACCAGGGGTCCTCAAATTACGGCCCATGGGCCACATGCGGCCCGCCGAGGATATTTATCCAGGCTACTGGGTGTTTTTTACTTCAAAATAAGATGTGTGCAGTATGCATAGGAATTTGTTCATGTTTTTTTTTAAAAAACTGTAGTCCGGCCCTCCAATGGGTCTGAGGGACAGTGAACTGGCCCCATTTAAAAAATTTGAGGACCCGTGCCTTAGACAATCTTTGAAAATCCAGCAATGGTACACTAAGGTTCACATCAGCACTATTTGCAGTAGCTCAAAGGTGGAAGCAAACTAAATATCCAATCATCAGATAAATGGATACACAAAATATGATATATACAAACAATGGAATTTTACTCAGCCATAAAGAGAAATGAAAGCCTAATATCTGCCACAACATGCTTAGTGAAATAAGTCAATCACAAAAGGACTCATATTGTATGGTCCCACTTATATAAAAAGGAAAATAACAGAAACCAAAGATTATTAGTGGGTACCAGGGGTGAGAGGAAAAGGGTGCTTTTGCTTAGGGGGTATTGAATTTATGTTAATGGTAGTGGAGTAATTTGGACAAGGATAATGACAATGGTGATCCAACATTTAGAATGTAATCAATGCCACTAACTTATACATGTAGAGATCACTATATTGGCAAATGCTTTAATGTATATATTTATACCACTTCAATAAGAAAATAAAAAAACAAAATACTTGGTTTAAAATTTGGAGTCAAAGCAGAAATAATATGAAAAACTTAGTTTTTAAAAACCTACTGTTGATTGAAGAAATGTCTCACCAGAGAACCACTTACTAAATCAAAATCTGAGATGAGGCTGATAACCTATCTAATCAATAAGCTTTCCATGTGGCTCTTGTGCAAACTGCAATTTGTAACTAACTGATTCAAATGATACAGACACCAAGTTAAAGGCAAATGACCTTTGCAGAGTACTTTGAGACCTTTTCACAGTACTCTGGGAAAAAAAAGAAGTAGAAAAATTCTCTTTTCAAATTCAAAAGAATTGGTGCCATAGCACTAAGTACCTTCTATTACCTATCCCCCAAAAATCCTGGTGGCAAAGTGGGCTACAAGTTGGGCTGTTAACTACAAGGTCAGCAGTTCAAACCCACCAATCTCCCCTCAAAAGAAAGATGAGACTGGCTGCTGTCATACATAATCATAGTCTTGCAACACTCAGAAGCAGTCTGAATCTGATGTGAAGCATCACTATGAGTTGGAATGACTACAGGGCAGTGCATTATGACTTATGACAAGGATCCATGTGGCACTGGTTAAGCACTCGGTTGCTAACCAAGAGGTTGGAGGTTTGAATCCACCAGTCACTGTGAGGTAGCTGTGACAGTCAGCTTCCATAAAGATTATAGCTTTGGAAACACTATAGGGCAGATCAATCCCATCCTATAAGGTCAATATGAGTTGGAATTGACTTGAAGGGATAGATGGATGGAAAGATTACCTATGACAGAATTCCTGGGTGGATCAATCTATTAATCTGTTCAGCTGTTAAATGAAGGGTTAGAGTCCATCCAGAGGTACCTTGGAAGAAAGGTTTGGTGATCTACTTTAGAACACATCAGTTATTGACAGTCCTCTAGGGCAGGGCTCCATTCTAACACACATGGGGCTGCCATGAGTTGAAATCTGATTAGGGCAACTCGTTTTATTACATCAATGTCTCTCATTTAAATTTGATTGGTCTGGAAGTTTTGAGTTTAATGTGCAAATTTGGTCTTATGAGTATACAAAAGCAATAATCACAAAGAATTTATCATGTATGCTTCAGCAATTTTTTAAAAGTTGTTGAGTCATTTCCCATGCATAGTTGAACCTGGCTGCAATCTTTCAGAAGTAGACCGCCAGACCTTTCTTCCAAGGTGCCTCCCAGTGGACTTGAATGGCCTAGCTTTGGGTCAGTAACCAAGCGCTTAGCTATTAGCAACACCCAGGGACACTCAGTAGACGTGATGCCTCTGAACATTTCTTCTCTGCTTATATTCCTTTAGAGAGCCCATTTGTTTTCCCTAGTTGAAAAAATCTTGCTTCAAAGAGAAATCCAAAAAAGTGACTAAGATGGGGAAAAAAACCTCAAAAAAGTGACAAAGATGGAGGAAAATCTTAAATCTAAAAATGTACATACTATTAAATATTGTTTGTTTTATAATAGTTATTAATATTCATTCATAAGTTAATGTTATCATAAATTATATAATTGACTGGAGGACATGCCTAGAGATAAAAAATCAGACCTTGATCTATTTACAAGTTTGTTTTCTTTTTTCTAAATTATAAAATTTTTTTCTTTTTCTTTTTTTTAAATTAATTTATTCTTTTATGGGTCATTGGTTTTTTTTGTTGTCATCTTGTGTTCTCTTTTGTTGCCTTGTCTTGCTATGCCTTGTTTTTTGGTGCATGTTATTATTTCTGCAGATCTATCTAAATAAGAGAGGCTGGATGAACAGTCTGGAGGAGAAAACAA